GAAATCTCACACTTGTAAGCCGAGGTGCATGTAAGCGCTGACGATCCCCTTATGCATTCCGCAGACCGACAGGGGGAAGGGGGGAGACTGTTTGAAAATAGCGCACTTCAATTTCCAAGAGGTGGCGACGAATGAAGCTCGTGGAGTGGGCGACCCAGGAGACGCATTGCTAAGTGACCCATTGAAAGCTTGACACCTCTTTTTTTGTGTTTTTGGTCATCAAAGCTTTCTCTTGAATTCAAAGAACCCAGAGACAGGCATATTAGTAACTTTTCTTTACCACTTCTCAGGCTCAAAAAAAAACCACTCGGGTCAGGTGTGTGTTTGCATACCAGAAGTGTTTACCAAATGAAGAAATCAGACTTTCAAGCAGCAAAACCTTCAAGATTTGATCACAAGGTTTTGCTACCTGTTTCTTCTTTGAATTGATTATAAATCTGTTTACAGAGGATAGAATTTGTGAGTCCAATCAGAGTTCACCAAGAAAAGTTTTTGTGTCTTTTCCTCCTTTCTAATGTGGTATTTGTCAAAAAATATGCCAAGCAAAAGCAGTCTACTGTGTCATAGTTCAGATATAGTAAAAGATCGACATGTATGCTATGCATCTATGTACACCAGTCAGCCATTCCAAAGACCCCAGTTAAGAGAGCCAACCTTGTAGGTGGAATGTTTTTTCCCTTTGACATGTGCATTATTTGTTTGATTACTTAAGTGTGAGATTAAGTCTTATACTTGACTAACTTAAGAGTCTCTAATGATCTGTCAAAAGTTGAATTAGACTTGCCTCTGTCCTGGAGTCACCTGCTCTCTGTCAGTCATGAAACAAAGTCGGAGGTTTAGAGGCTTTTTTTTAAAAAGAAATACTGAGGTCTGTTCATAATTTATCATTTACGCGAAGGGGAAAGTAGCCGGCGTGATCGTCGCCGAACGGTAAGTTGATTCCAAATCATGTATCTTTGATAATGAGAGAGGAAAACACCCCCAAAATGGCTGTGATGTGTACGTGTAGCTTCCATGGATTTCTCTTCCCATCATGCACTGCCTGCCTTCCACAATCCTTATCACACCCTCTCTCCCAAATACATGTATTTAGCATCCCGTGAATAGCGTAGTTAGCAGCGCCACGTACTGATTTTCTTAGTAGTGCTGAATGCTCTTAACATGTTGTTTTCAGTGAACCTATCCTGCATGGATGTATAAAGTTTCAGACAACTTCTCATTCAGACACTTCTCTCACTGTTTCTGAACCACAAAGTCCCGCTGAAAGTGTTAACAAAAAAAGTGATCTGAAACGTTGAATTTTGGATACTTCTTTGTCTCCTAAATTTCTTGTTTTACATGTAGCAACAAAAGTGCCAGTGGATGAAGTTATGATGCTTGGTATGTGCACTATGTATTTGTTATATACATACTATGCTGTGAATGGGAAGGAGGTTTCTTCTGTGCTTGTTTACCTTTTCCTTGATATTTCGTAAACAAATGTGTTTTTCATTGTTTGCCCTCAATCAGCAAGAGGTGCTGCACATGTGGGCATGTGTACATGTACAGTGTACGAATACAGTTATGTTAAAAAAGAAATATGTTTTGTATTTAGGAAACTCCACCAGTGCGGCTCAAGATTCACCATTTATGGATCAGTAATATGTGTACCAACAAACAGGCTGCTGGGGGATTTCCAGAGGAAGAAAAAAATCCTGTTTTTCTGTAGCATGCTCACTTTATTTATTAATGTTCTGACACTTAAGTAGTGTACTATTGATGTTGTGACAGTGCAGCGTACTCACTTGGGCCGATTTGCCAGTCAGGCGTTCGGACCGTTATTATTAGGCACTTTTCCCAAGAACTCTCAGGAGTCTCAGGGGGCAAGGAAGGGGACCATCAGGAGCCATGTTTCGCATCACTGAACGACTCCTGACGAGCGACTTTATTTTGGGGAGAAAGTCATGATGAAAGAGGGGAGGGTGTTGGGTCGAGTTTTTAGCCCACTTCAGGTTGAGCCAAATTGGTGTGATTTGTGATACGATACTGGGAGAAGTGAACCTTTGGCAAAGTCTTTCAGCTAAGTTCCATCCCGATAGAGACAGTTTGGTTGGTAAATAGTAACCCTAATTATGATGAGATACGTGGGATTCATTTTCAGACAATTGCTCTTGCTGAGAGGTAGCTTTTAAGTTCCCCTTCTTCCCTGGGGGGGCTCTCCGTGAAATTGTCAACATCAGCTGTGGGCAAAATCAAGTTGTTTGGCAGTGCTGAGCTTGTCCGTCATGGGTGACCTTTTTGGGGTTGTAATCCATTTGCGGGGGACCTGAAACTGACCAGAAAAGTGCGTCTGTCTCTCTGGGAAGTAAGGAAAAAGTAAGTTCTGTTTTGGAATGAAGTACAAATGCACGTATTCTGAGAAAAATAATCTGGAAATTGAGAATTATACAAGGGAAATTTTGTGGTATCACATTTGGTGACAGATAATAAATGTAAAAAAGTATGGAAAATTTTAAAGTGGTAATATTGCTGTTAATTGTATCATCTGACTTTGACCCTTTTTGTTAAAACAGAAACAGCTTAAAAAAAAAAATCTGTGCATCTCTAGCAGTGGTGCGTTAAAATTAGCATATGTTCGATTAATGTTACTGACACGGGCTGTCCTCTGCAGACGCTTTTGTTTGATTTTAGAACTGATCCAGAACAAATGTTTGTATCAGTTCCATTGACGCTTCAGGTGCAGTCAGTAATTGATGGTCGTTATGTTTTATGTTTACTTCTCCCCGCGTCAAAGTGGAATCCTAACAAATGAGGTGATTGTGTACCCTTTTGCAGTGCCTGAAATCTGTGTGCATTTTATGCAAGCAGAGAACCTCGGCCGTACGGGCGTACATGCATATCCACGCAATGCATTCGACTCCCGGGCAGATCATGTCAAGTGGTGCTCCATGTACTCCAAATGTTGTCGCTAGGCTTGCCCTCGCTCCTCGGGGAGGTTTTAGGGGACAGGGAGCCCTGGTTTGGCTTTCACAAATGGGGGGGACTTTGCCCGTTGCCTAGGAATCACTTCAAATTATTCTGGCGCTTTTTCTTTATTTTGTTTTGTTTTTTTCC